TCTATGTTCATTTGCACATACAATTGTGGTTCAGGCCCGAGTTGCTAACGATTTTTGAGTTCAGGAGCTGCCTGAGGCTGTGGTTGGGGAGCTGGAAAGCTGAGTTTTTGTCTCGCACTTTTATAGAAAATATCCCTGAAAAATTTCAGCTTTCTACGTTGCCTGGTTCAAGAAATCGTTTCCCGCCGACATATTTCTTTGGGAGTCCCGTACGCGGGGTCTAGGCGCGTATGGGGAAAGATCTCAAAACGAGAGAATGACACACGGGGTACGAACATATGTTCAAAGTTTCAGCCTCACAGCTTTCCTGATTGCTGAGATGAAAGTGGGTGACAAAATGCACTCGCTTTCCGAACACACACACAGACAGCCTCTTGACAATATGCGTTTTTGCTGGCTGTAGCAGCGCTGCACAGGAAAAACGCATAATGAAAAGCAGACTTCACTGTGCTGCGAAAGCACTTCCAAAAAAGAATACGGGGGTTCTCCCGAACCATCTCCTTGATGCTAATTTTCTTGCACCAGAAATAAGCAGATGGAAAATCAGTTTTAAAAAATATCAGAGATTCTCCAAATCATCCCCGATGGAATACCAAGGTGTTAGACACCACTACGAGTGCAATGTGTGCCCGTGGTATCCAGTGGACTGCACCGCCAGCACAATCTTTGCATTTTTGCTCTATCTTTCATTGTTTTATTATTACTATTAATGCAGTTCTTTCTATGCCGAGTGCTCAGCACACATTAATGACATTTCGAAACCAAGTGCTTGTGCTGGGGAAAAAATTTTGTCACCCACTTTCATCTCAGCAACCAGGAAAGCTGAGAAGATGAAACTTTGGATATGTGTTCCTTTTTGTCATCCTTCCGTTTTAAGTTCTTTCCCCATACGCGCTTGGGCCCCGCGTACGGGACCCCCAAAGAAATATGTTGGCGGGAAACGACTTCACGAACCAGGCAACCTAGAAAACTAAAACTTTGCACGGATATTCCCTATGCACGTGCGAGATAAAAATGATCGCACCAGAGAGCTTGGTGCGTTCCAGCCTGGGATCTGTGAAGGAAAGAGCATCAAAAAAGGTATGTTATTCCTTAATATTGCCAGCGAGAAGAGGAATACGTAAAAAATTCTAATAAACAGCAACGCGCACTAGACTGGCCGGCGCAGTCATGCGTTTTGTGCAATTCAATCCAGCGAACGATTGCCCATTAATGATTCTTACTGCTTTGTACTTTAATCTATGCAAAAATAGTCGAAACGT